GCTGCTGTTGCGATGGAGAACGAGTTTTATTCCAAGTGCTCCAAAGATGAGAGCATGCAATGAGTAGGCTATGGGTCAAGTATATACATTGTTTAAAACAAAAAATCCTTAAGGTGGGGGTCAACAAATTTTTTCAGGCAAGGCCATCATACGTACTAACATTTGACATCATTTGACATACCGCACAACATACCGTTACACCTTAAATTGAAGCACTGGGCTGCTTTTTTTTCCTGCCAACTTTGGATGGGCTTCTTTTCAAGATGGGCTTCTTTTCTAGATGGGCTTTTTTTCAAGACTAATCAGATGAGAAGATCTGATACTGTACAAGTTGATGTAGATAAAAAATAAATTATACCTTTGCAACTGCTCAAGCAAAAGGGAATACTATGAAACAAGTATGGTTATCACTTCTGAGTTCTCCATTGAAGCGTAAAGCTGTCGCTGCTGCTGTTGCGATGGAGAACGAGTTTTATTCCAAGTGCTCCAAAGATGAGAGCATGCAATGAGTAGGCTATGGGTCAAGTATATACATTGTTTAAAACAAAAAATCCTTAAGGTGGGGGTCAACAAATTTTTTCAGGCAAGGCCATCATACGTACTAACATTTGACATCATTTGACATACCGCACAACATACCGTTACACCTTAAATTGAAGCACTGGGCTGCTTTTTTTTTCCTGCCAACTTTGGATGGGCTTCTTTTCAAGATGGGCTTCTTTTCTAGATGGGATTTTTTTCAAGACTACTTTTGCAAAGCAGGCCCGTAGCCAGGGGGGGTTTCTATGGTTCGGGCAAACCCCCCTTTTCTAGCGAACCCCCCTGTTTTCTAGCGAACCCCCTCGAATTTTTGAATGAGTCCCACTCGGACGGAATGTCTGTTTTTAACTTACCCAGCATTAAATCAAAATTTAGCACCTTAATTCATTATTTGCTCACCCGTTTTTAAATTGTAGCAAGCGATACAAGCCTACATTCATAGAATATCTCAGCTTCAGAAGTTCGGAGATTTAAATTGAACGCAACTCCGGCAAACCATGACTTTACGATAGCTATAAGGATGGCAAACATCGATAAAAGCTTTCACTGGCCTTTGGCTGAATGTTTGTAAGAAATGTACCAACCAGTAACAAAACCGGTCTCCGTCTACCTAGAGTAAATGGCGCCACCAAACGAAGGTAAATTTTGCGACTTAATCAACCAAATGCAGCTAAAGTTTTGCGACTTTTTGATTCTGGATTGTGTGGTTAGTAAATTCCATAGCCATACTGTCCATAGACCACACTAAACTATGTGCTGATGGAGCATTTTTGGGAAATTGACTCCTTTTTTCCATCCCAAACAAAATATTATTAATAAATCAACATGGTCCATCTCAGTCATCATAGCGAGTCACAAAATGAGGAAGTTCGTTTTCAACAGCAGTCACACACAACATAACGGAGTGCGTCAAAATCTAAAAAATACGTACTGGCATATTGTAATACACATTCCCTTGTTGTACAGTATGACATGTTTCATTAACA